GCGTTCCAACGTGGGTGGTTGGGGCGCGCGGGTGAGTCGGGGTGGCAGTCAGTAGGAGCCTGTACTTTAGACGTTTTCTGGCCCATGTGGGCGACGTTGCCGATGTCGGGTCGGGGCCTGGTTGGATGTTTCTTGAGTTGAAAACTCAGCAGGCTGTCCTAGCTGTTGGAGTTTGCTATTTTGTCTCGCGCCTGGGGGTCGCGGGGGGGAACCTGTCCAAAATGCGGGGTATCGCCGAGTTCGTGCGCGCCGTCGGGGTTCCCTGGATTTTTTCTTTCAAAAAAAAAACAATGTGGCAACTCTGTGGCTCTCTGGGTTTCCGCAGTCGGCTCATGCTAGAAGTATTGGCGCCCGTGGGGATTGTTTTTGCATGTTCGCAGGGGTCTGGCACGATGCTAGAGCATGTGTTGGTCTCGCAGGTTTTGGCTCTCTTCGTGCATACTCTTGTTTGCGAGCCTTCACCGTTCAGAACCCATCGGTGTCTCATGGTCCGGCTGGCCCATCCTCTGTTAGTCCAGAAGTTGTGCCGTCGCATGCGTCCACCAGATATCCCAGTTCGTTGCGGGCCTGATCTTCCTCGGCGCCGTGACCTCCTGCAAGAGGAGGGCTCGGCCGAGGGCGGTCTGGAGACGGAGCGCCCCGTGCAGTTGGTGTACCTCATTCCGCGCACTGCGGAGCACCTGGATGAGCAGGTGTATGCGCAGTTTTTCTTGTGTCGGCGTGCTACCGAGCGCATGTTCCTCTCTCGTGCCTGCGATGCTATGCGCGGTGATGAAGGGGGGTCTGGAGGGGGAGCTGCTGCGCTTCAGCTTGTCGCGTCGACCATCGCACGCAGGGGGTGGGGGGGGGGGTGGGGGCGGCATATCGTGATCTGACACTTGCCTTTTGGTCGCGATTCTCTGCTAGGCTGAGCCGCGTCAACGGCTTGATCATGGACGTGGTCTCTCGGGCTGGCGAGTAGTTTCGCCCGTCTTGCCAGCTGCGCAGCCTGTCCCATGGTGAGCCAATCGCGTGTCCTATCAGGCCTTGGCTGATCTGGAGGAGGTCGATCGCCTCGTAGAGATCGCCCCTGAGGTTTCGAAGCGGGCTTGGCATGGAGCTAAGGCGGCTGCGTGGAAAGACCTCAAGGACAGGGCCATCCGCGCAATATCTCGCGGGGCTAAAGGGGTTCGCGCATGGCTGAAACGTGGCGATGTAACTGTGGTTGGGTTTTTGTTTGGGCCCTTGGGGGTGCGATGCAATTGCCGCGAGAAATGATGGATTATCGGGCTCAGTTGTGGGGTGGGGGGGGGGGGGGGGGCTTCTGGCATGTCTCTCGAGGAGGTCGCGGGGCTGGGTAGCGCCATGTCTGACTTCCGCGGCGTCGCGTTGGAGGCCGCCCAAGAGCCCCCCCTCCCCCATCGCTGCCCAACATATCCAAGTTTGTAAGGTCGTCTCGGCCGCCGAAGCCGTCGGAGTTCACGGGTGGCGGCCTCGTGCTGTCGCTGAGCTCCCATCCGACGCGTTGGAAGCCTTGGCGTCCCTGTGCTCGCTGTGCGAGGGGCGCGTGTTCTGGCCTGAACAGATCCTCCCTGGGTAAGGTTCCACGTCGATGAGATGAGCGACCAGTCTGTAAATGCCCCCCACCCTCGACCGCATGTGCACCCAAATTCGGGGGACTGCCATTGATACGTGGACCGCGGAGCACGTTGCGTTTTGGGGTACGGCTGTCGAAGGATCGCCCGCCCTGAAAGCGACGCTGATTCGTGAGTTCTACCATGAGTATGCCGTCCATGAAGGGTACATGTCTGTGGCGCCCCATTGGGGCCCAGCACAGTTTTTCGACGCTGTCAATCCGAGACTGCTTATTAGATTTGCCCTTAAGATGAAGTGCCCACCCCATCTGCTGCATTTGGGCACGTGGATCCACGCGTTCCCTCGTATGCCGGCGTTGATGCAGTGTTTCCCGCGTGTTGCAAACGGGTCGGGGGGTCTTGCTTGGCTGTTCCGAGAGTATTGCGCGGTCCAGATATTTGTCTACGAGGCCTTGGAGGCCTGTCAGTACCAGATAGATGGCGAGCTTTCGAGAGTGATCAGTCGGGCGTATGTCGACGACATTGCGCAGAACGTGGCTAGTTTGGATCACGAGCTGCAGATGCATCTTCTGCCAGCAGCCGCCTGCTTCGCGGTCGAGATCGAGTCGCTAGGTCTGGCGCTTAGCACCGAGAGCGCCCTCGTCTGTTCCTTTCAGGCCGTGGACGCGCACCTTGCTGATAGTCTTCAGGCCTTGGGTCTCCCACTCCGTTCTCAGCCTAATGCCTGGAATCCGGGCTTGCGCGCGACGGCTGGAAGCAGGGGGGGTGTCCCTGAGGTCGCGCGGCGGAGGCTTGCAGCGCGGCGACGCGCTGACAAAGTTGCCGCCCTGTCCCGTGTTTACTGATGGGTGTCCAAGCTGTGCGAACCCGGTGTTTTGTCTGTTCGGGCCTGGGGCCATCAACTGGTGGGCGCGTCGCCGTGCCGGGCGCAGACTGCGCGGGGCCCGGCGGCCCAGTGTTTTGGGTGGTGGGCCCCAGGTTCTTGTTCGACTACCGTGTTGGCTTTGGCGTCGAGTAGTTCGGGCGAACCCCTGTTCCGCTCGCGGCGCGAGCAGCTCCTCAGCTTGGCTGACCTGTGGCGCGAGCTGGGTCCTAGGGACCGCATGCGTGTTGAGAATGTTTGGGTTGCTGCCGTTGACCTCTTCCTGAGTATCCCTGCGAACTGTCGTTGGCGGCGGGTTCGTGGACCTGCGATGGCGACGGTGGCCGCTCTTGTTGATGTTGAGTGGGCGCCCGTTTCTCCCTGCGAGTGGCAAGATGAGTTCGGCGTCTCCCTGAATGTGGATGCCCTGGGCATTCGGTTTTGGCTTTGGCAGGCCCTTCAGGTTACCTGTGGCCAATGGACCTCGGAGAAAGCTGCGGGGCATTGCCTTGGGGCTGGGGTCCATGGCGGCGTTGGTTTCTCCGTGCCTCGGCGGCTGCCGAAACGGTGCGGTCGATATCTTGACTGTGAGTCCCAAGCCATTCTTCGCACTGCGCTCGCTAGGGGCTTTTGTGCCGAGACCCGCCTATTTGAGGCGGGGTGCGCTGCGAGTCCGTTGTGCCCCAGGTGCTGTCTTCAACCTGGGATGCCAGCGCATCGTTTCTGGCAGTGCGCGGCCCACCGCGCCCTGGGCGATGCTGCTGTCCAGGCCACAGATAGCCTGTTCCAGATTGCTATCGACGGGGGCGCCTCCCTCCCCTCTGATGTCGAGGATTGCTGTCGGTCGGTCAGGTCGTGAAAGGGCTCCCTGCGCCTCTGTCGTCGGCCTGGGTCTGTGGAGCCTTCCGAGGTGCCTGTCCTGTGACTGGGGGCGTTTGGGGGATCGATGGATCGGGGGGCAGTGGAACTAAGGACTGGAGTCTAATCAGGTGTGGGTGGAGCGCGGTTATGCTTGCTGTTGACGAATATGAAGTGGCAGGTGGTCTCTTCGGAAGGTTTCCACCTCCTTCTCAGATACCCCGCCCTCCCACGCTCTGAATTGTATGCTCTGTATATGTTGCTCACTGTGACTGACGGTGATATCTTGGTGTGCTCTGACTATCTCCCGGCGGTGCGGATGGTCTCCAGAGCAGCTAGTGATAAGTAAGTGTAGCATGTTGGATGTATGGGCCAGCATGTGGGGTCGTCTTGGGGCGCGTTCGGGCAAGAAGGATCACCGTTTGACTAAATCCCACCTTCGAGGCGCGCGTGGATGAGATGCAAATCTCGCGAGTGGAGCTCATTTTGAATAATGCAGCCGATCACTGTGCCAACGGAGGAGCCCGCAGGGGCCAGTTGAGATCTCAGGAGATGGAGGCGGTCCGTGCAGCGGACGCGCTCCAGGAGGAGATATTGCTGCGCCTTCTTGCGATCCAGCATGATGTGTTTCTCACCTGTACCCGCGAGGCTCTCAATCATAAAGGTCTCGCGGCAGCCCGTAATAGGTCGGGCATCGTGACTCTCGGGGCTAGGGGGCGGCGGCTGATGGCTGCTGGTCACGCTGCCTCCTTGAGAAGCACTATGTTAAAGTGCTCCAGGTGTGCCCGCCCCTTTTCGAGACAAAGGCCAGTGTCGCAATTCTGGCCGGAGGTGTGTGTCCCTCTATCCGAGTTCAGCCAGGTCTCAGGGGAGTGGACTCCCCAGGACGAGCGGGACCCCCGTGCGCCGCTTTCCCTCTGATCATCCTCTCTTTCCACCTGTCCATGCTTCGCACACCTTCGCCTACTGTCAGGGCGTGCTGTGCTGTCTTGCCTGTGGAGCCTTTGGGGTGGATCAGGCTCGTCAGCTTGCTTCGGACTGTGGACAGCCCTCCGCGAAAGGGCCGGAGGCGTTCTCTCGATTGTCGCGCGGGCTCCCTCCCAAGTCAGGTATGGTCTTCCCCGTGAGGGGATGGGTGTGTCATGCGCCCAGGCCTGCTCCTGGTCGCCGCACTCAACGCAATCGCAATCGCTTTCCTCCTCCTCCTGGTTGGGGAGCGGCCTGCATGCGCAGCACAGCAGGTGAGCCAAGTGCCCCCTCGGAGCGGGCCGCGCGCGGACATCGCAATCAGAGGGAGGGGGGGGGGGAGGGAGAGAGGGAGGGGGAGAAAGAGGGGCGGAGATAGGGAGGGAGGGAGAGGGGGGGGGAGGGAGAGAGGGAGGGTGAGAGGGAGGGAGGGGGAGAGGGGGTAGGGAGGGATGCGGGGAGAGGGGGGAGGGAACAAAGGAAGGGACGACATGGGCTGTTGCCATCGTTTGATCCATCTTAGAAAGGGGGGCGGAGGTCCGATGCCTTGGGCCGCTTCCCTCGCCCCGTTTGAGGCGCTCATCGGGAGGCCCTTCTTTTCGCGCAACCACTTCGCGAACCTGTTCGTGGGTTTCATTTCGAAGAAGACAACGACCCACAGGCATACATTCCCGGAGGTTCGCGCGGACTCCTCGGATCGGCGGCGCCCTCGACGCAGGGGGCGGCGCCGAACGCGCCACCAGGGAGCCCTCGCGCCGATCACCGGGATCCGCGCGCAGGCCTCCGACAGTGTATGTGCGTGGTGTTTTTTTTTTCTTCTGTCATCTGCGTCAATATTGCCGTCTTCGCGTGCATCTGGTGGCCTTCGGCCCATCCCGCCACCGTGCCCTGGTCGTGGCTCAGCCAAGCGAGAGCCTTTTGGGAGGCCTCGTGGGGGACCCGCTGTGGACCTCTCGGGGGGCCTCTTGGGGGCTTCCTCGGGGCATCTTGGCATCTTGGAGGCCAGATGGCCGTCTATAGAGACCTTTTGGAGGAGAGGGTTCGACATTTCAGTTCTTGTTTTCCCTCGTGCAGCCGTCTTGTGGGTCTCTTGGGCTCTCTTGGGAATATTGGGGGCTATTTTGGGGTGATGTTGGGGGGCCTTTCGAGCACTCTGAAGGCCGAGCAGGCGAGCATTCGAACATACTGCACAGAGCATGAGGATGCTCCGCGATTGTGGCTGTAAGGGCCAGCCCGCAGGGCCTCTAGACGGCTGACGAGGCCTCCAAGTAGGCTCCAAGACTGGCCCTGAAGCCATCCCAGGCCATGCCCGAAGTGTGGATTACAAACCGCGCAGGCCTCCGGAAAATCTCACGACGAGCCCCACGAGTGTCCCGAAGCGTTCAAGAATTCAAACATTCGCGATGTGGGGCGTTGAAAGAGCAAGTGCAAGTAATGCGCCAATCAGAGAACTCGCAGGGATCTGAGGACACTCCACTCAGTGGCTCGCGGCACTGGCGGATCATAGCGCCAGGCCGCCACCTTCACATTGTAAGTCGAAAGTGTGAATGATGGTGGTGCCGAGATGATGGCAGGCGGGATGTGGGATATGAATTGTCGTTAATTGGGGGGAACGACTGCGAACGAGGGATATCAGTCTGTTCGAGGGCTATGTGAGGCCGTGTCTTTTGAACTCTAGATTTCAGCAACAAGGAAGGGTACATACGAGGATACACAACGGTGGGCGACACTGCCAGTGGTAGAGCCATGCTGCAAACCTGCATCTGTCAGGATCAGCCAAAGCACGGCAGCGATGAGAGGGCGCTCGACACCCATTCAGAGGGAGCCGACAGTTCATGCCGCATGTGCGATCGCATTCATTAACATGTTGCGTGATTCGTTTGCTTACTTTCAGGGATCGCGAACCCCCATCCAGACATCGTGATGTGGTGGTCGTTGCTGATCGGCGGGGCCATGCTTCTCTGGGTGCCCGCTCCGCATGTCATGCTTCATCCCTCTGGGAACGTGCACGCCTGGAGGCACGGGAGGCGTAAGTGTGACCCAAGAGTTCAAATCCAGCATGTGCACACCAGCGCCAATCTATGATGTGAGTGCAGGCTAACATCTTAGCATCTTGTTTGGGATCACGTTTCAGCGGCATTCGATAACCACGCCCTGCAGGAATTCCACGCCTGTAGGTTGTGCCGCTTGTATCAGCACTCGCGACATCACCGAAGCACACTTTTACGATGTGTGTTCTTGGCCCTCTTAGGGGCGATGAGGAGAAGGAGGAGGAGGTGGAGCAGGAAGAGCAGGGGATTGAGCAGGAGGAGGAGATGGGGGAGGGGAGGACACGAAGCGGGAGGAGGGTGGGGAGGAGGAAGAGGAGTTGATGGATGAGGAGGGAGGAGGACGAACAGAAGGAGGAGGAGGCGGAGGTGGAGGAGGGAGGAGGAGGAAGCCGAGGAGGAGGATTGGAGGGAACCGCTCCAGCATGAATGGACATTTCTATAGTGGAGGGTTAGCCTCCATCATGAAAAGTTTGTGGCAGTGGAGCGTAAAGTGTCTACAGGTCTACCGTTCAATCAGACGGTTCTTGCTCTGATTTCATCCTAGGTGCTTGAGGATGGATGCGCCTCCTCTCCGTCTCCTCCTCATTTTGCTTCTGAGGCCCCACCCCTCCTCCCTCCATCCTTCCCTACCACCTCCCTATCCTCCTCGTCCCTCCCTCCTCCCTCGCCCCCTCCACCCACTCCCTCCCCAATCCTTCACCCTCCTTCTTCTACTCCCTTACCTGCGCACCCGCGCACACACGCACACACACAGACGGGCAAACACACAGATACACAGACACACAAGCACACAGACACACAGGCACACAGCCACACAGACAGACAGGCACACAGACACACAGGCACACAGCCACACAGACAGACAGGCACACAGACACACAGACACACAGCACACACGCGCACACGCGCACACACGCACTCACGCGAACTCGCACACAGACAGACACACCGACACAGACACACACACACGCTCAGACACACAGCACACGCACACGCACACACACACACTCTCACACGCGCACGCACGCACGCACGCACGCACGCACGCTCCCACGCACGCACGCACGCACGCACGCACATACACAGACGGTCACGCGCAAGGTCACGCGCATGCACACGCACACGCACACGCGCACGCGCACGCGCACGCGCACGCACACGCACATGCACGCGCACAAGCACACGCACACGCACACGCATGCGCACACGCACACGCACACGCACACGCACACGCACACGCACACGCACACGCACACACATACCCACCCACCAGCCCACCCACCCATGCACGCACGCACGCAAGCACGCACGCACGCAAGCACGCACGCACGCACACACACAAACACGCACACGCACGCACAAACACGCAGACGCAAACACGCTAACAACGTAATCGTTTTCTTGTTCAATGGTTTGCCGATCGGCGCGGGCCCTTGCACCCTTGAGTAGATCTTGGCAGGTTTTGGCGCCTGTTTCGAGCAGGTGGGGCGCCTCCCGCATCGGACGCACTGCTGCAATTAGCCGCACTTAGCAGAGGTCCGGAGCCGGATCCCCCCAATGAAGCGCCAGATAAGGAAACATTCACCACGCGCACACACGCGAACGCACGCACGTACCTACGCACCTACGCACCTACGCGGACACGCGCATGCACGCGCTCACGCACACACACACACATCCGCACACACACACACACGCACGCACGCACACACACAACACACACAACACACAACACACAACCCACAACACACAAACAACACAAACAACACAAACAACACAACACAAACAACACAAACAGCACAAACAACACAAACAACACAATCCATAACACACACACACCACACAACACACACCACACAACACACAACACACAACACACGACACCCAACACACAATCCACAACACACAAGACACAAGACACAAGACACGAGACACAACACATAACACAACACAACACACAACACACAACACACAACACACAACACACAACACACAACACCAACGCACAACACACAACACACACCACACAACACACACCACACAACACACAACACGCAACGCACAGCACACCACATACAAAACACAAGACACAACGCACAATACACAATACACAACACACAACACACACCACACAACACACAACACACAACACACACCACACAACACACAACACACAACACACAGCACACAACACAACACACACAACACACAACACCAACACACAACAGACGACACACAACACACAACGCACAACGCAGAACACACAACACACAACACACTCCACACAACACACAAGACACACGAGACACGGCAGAAAACACAATTCACAAGACACAAGACACAACACACAACACACGCATACACGCACACACGCACACACGCACACACGCACAAACGCACAAACGCACGCACGCACGCACACAGGCACACACTCACACACGCACGCACGCACACACGCACACACGTTCACACGCACGCACGCGCGCACGCACGCACACACGCACACACGCATACACGCACACACGCACACACACGCACACACAGACACACACAGACACACACACACAAACACACAGATACACACACAGGCGCACACACACAGACACACACAGACACACACAGACACACACAGACACACACACACACAGACACACACAGACACACACAGACACACACACACAGACACACACACAGACACACACAGACACACACAGGCACACACCGACACACACAGACACACACAGACACACGCACAGACACACACACAGACACACACACACACGCAGACACACACAGGCACACACACCGACAAACACAGACACACACAGACATACACAGACACACGCAGACACACATAGAAACAGACACACACAGACACAGACAGACACACACAGACACACAGACACATTCAGCCACACGCACCTACACGCACGCACGCACGCACGCACGCCCGCGCGACGCCCGCGCGACGCCCGCGCGACGCCCGCGCGCACGCGCACGCGCACGCACGCACGCACACGCAAACGCACACGCACACGCACACGCACACGCACACGCACACGCACACGCACACGCACACGCACACGCACACGCACACGCACACGCACACGCACACGCACACGCACACGCACACGCACACGCACACGCACGCACACGCACACGCACACGCGCACGCGCACGCGCACGCACACGCACACGCACACGCACACGCACACGCACACGCACACACGCACACGCACACGCACACGCACACGCACACGCACGCACTCACGCACGCCCGCCCGCACGCCCGCCCGCCCGCGCACGCGCGCGAGCGCGCGCGCACGCATTGACGCACGCACGCGCGCGCGCACGCACGCGTTCACGCACGCACGCGCATTCACACACATTCACACACAATCATACACACCCGCACACATTCACACACATGCACACACAGTCGCACACATTCGCGCACATTCACACACATCCTCACACATTCGCACACATTCACACACATTCACACACACACACACACACTTTCACACATTCACGCACAGTCACACCCATCCGTTCACATTCACACACAGACGCAGACACACACACACAGACACACATACAGACACAGACAGGCACAGGCACAGACACAGACACAAGCACAGGCACAGATACAGACACAGTCACAGGCACCGACACAGACGCAGACACAGACACAGACACAGACACAGACACAGACGCAGACGCAGACGCAGACACAGACACAGACACAGACACCGACACCGACACAGACACAGACAAAGACGCCGACACAGACACAGACACAGACACGGACACGGACACGGACACAGACACAGCCACAGCCACAGACACAGACGCAGACGCAGACACAGGCGCAGGCACAGCCACAGACACAGGCACAGCCACAGACACAGACACAGACACAGTCACAGCCACAGCCATAGCCACAGCCACAGACACAGACACAGACACAGACACACACAGAGACACAGACACAGACACACACGCACAGACACACGCACAAACACACGCACACACGCGCACACGCGCACACGCGCACGCACGCGCACACACGCGCACACACGCACACACGCACACACGCACACACGCACGCACGCACGCACACGCGCACGCGCACGCGCAAGCGCACGTGCACGCCCACGCCCACGACCACGCCCACGCCCACGCCCACGCCCACACACACACACACACACGCACAGGCACAGGCACAGGCACACGCACACGCACACGCACACGAACACGCACACCCACACGCACACGCACACGCCACGCACACGCACACGCACACGCACGCGCACGCGCACGCGCACGCGCACGCGAACGCGCACACGCACACGCACACGCACACACACACGCACACTCACACGCACGCGCACACGCGCACGCGCACGCGCACGCGCACGCGCACGCGCACGCGCACGCACACGCGCACGCGCACGCGCATGCGCACGCGCACGCGCACGCACGCGCACGCGCACACGCACACGCACACGCACACGCACACGCACACGCACGCACACGCACACGCACACGCACACGCACACGCACACGCACGCGCACGCGCACGCGCACGCGCACCCGCACCCGCACCCGCACCCGCACCCGCACCCGCACACGCACACGCACGCGAACACGCACGCGCTCACGCGAACGCTCGCGTACGCGCACACGCACACGCACACGCACATGCAGACGCACACGCACACGCAGACGCACACGCACACACGCACACACACACGCACACGCACAAGCACAAGCACACACGCAGGCACACACGCACACGCGCACACGCGCACACGCACGCGCACACGCGCACACGCGCACACGCGCACACGCGCACACGCGCACACGTGCACACGCGCACACGCGCACACGCGCACACGCGCACACGCGCACACGCGCGCACGCGCACACGCGCGCACGCGCACACGCGCACGCGCGCACGCGCGCGCACGCGCACACGCGCACGCGCGCACACGCGCACGCGCGCACACGCGCGCACGCGCACACGCGCGCGCGCACACACGCACAAACGCACACGCACGTACACACACACACGTACACACGCACACACGCACATACGCAGACACGCCCACACGCACACGCGCACACGCGCACACGCGCACACGCGCACACGCGCACACGCGCACGCACACGCACACGCACCACACCCGCGCACACGCGGACACGCGCACACGCGCACTCGCGCACACGCGCACACGCGCACACGCGCACACGCGCGCACGCGCGCCAGCGCACGCGCGCACACCGCCAGCGCACGCGCACGCACGCGCACGCGCGCGCACGCGCGCCAGCGCACGCGCGCACACGCGCACACGCGCACACGCGCAGGCACGCACACGTGCACACGCGCAAACGCGCACACGCGCACGCGCGCACGCGCGCACACGCGCACACGCGCACGCGCGCATGCGCGCACACGCGCACACGCGCACACGCGCACGCGCGCACACGCGCACGCGCGCACGCGCGCACACGCGCACGCGCACGCGCGCACGCGCGCACACGCGCACACGCGCGCACGCGCGCACGCGCAGGCACAGACACAGGCACAGACACAGGCACAGACACAGACACAGACACAGACACAGCCTCAGACACAGACACAGACGCAGACACAGACACAGATACGGAGACAAACACACACACAGAGACAGAGACACAGAGACACAGAGGCAAAGAGACACAGAGACACATAGACACAGAGACACAGAGACAGAGACAGCGACACAGAGACACAGAGACACAGAGACACAGAGACAGAGAGACAGAGAGACACAGAGACACAGAGACGCAGAGACGCAGAGACACAGAGACGCAGAGACACAGAGGCACAGAGACACAGACACAGAGACACAGAGACACAGAGACACAGAGACACAGAGGCACAGAGACACAGAGACACAGAGACACAGAGACACAGAGACACAGAGACACAGAGACACAGAGACACAGAGACACATAGACACAGAGACGGAGACACAGAGACACAGAGGCACCGAGACACAGAGACACAGAGACACAGAGACACATAAACACAGAGACAGAGACACAGAGACACAGAGAGAGACACAGAGACACAGAGACACAGAGACACAGAGACACAGACACACAGAGACACAGACACACAGAGACACAGACACAGGCACACACATGCTCTCACACACGCACGCGTTTTCACACATAGACGCACACACGCACTGGCACATACGCGCACGCACACGCACCCGTAGCCGTTTCGACTCGAGATGCTCGGCTCTCAGAGGTGAACACGTGGATGCCGATGTTCCGCGGCATCTTCCATCTTTGTCCGCGCGCTCGCCCAGGAGCCGCATCAGGTTTGCCGGGGCAGGTCCTTTTCAGCCCAGACGTTCCGCATTCTGGCGACCCGCGGGGCAGTTGCTCTCAGGAAGGGCAGAGGCGCGGCAGGCGGCAGAGGAGTCGGCAAGGCGGGGAAGGACTCTTTGGGGGGCGACGCGGAGGATGTACTGTGCGTGGGCTGATCCCACGCACTGAAATTTCAGAACCGCGCAGAGTGCCACCGATGCAGCACACCCTGCAAGCCCGCGAAGGCGCAGTGCCAGGTCCCCAAGGGTCAGCGGTCCAAGCCTCCGCGGGCCAGCTCGTCGCCATCCCCGTGCCTACTGACGGACGAGTAGGTGCTGGTCATCCTCGCGGCTAGGCACCTGGCCTGCGGGCCGCGGCCCGAGGCCGTCGAGGTCGCGACGTCGCCCCTGCCCGGCGTGGCCAGGGTGCTGGCCGACGTCGCCCTCAATCGCGCTCGAGCCAAGCAGCGTCGCGCCGAGGCAGCCTTCCACCGCGAGGCGCAGGCGGTGCTGCGTGCCAAGCAGAGGCTGCAGGGCAAATCGCGAGGCAGAGCTGCAGGCAGGTGAAGCGCTGCTCGCGGACGAGCAAGAAGTGCAGGCGACCTTCAATTCAGCTGCCCCGCAGGGGGTGGTGGTCACGTCCAGTGTGCTGCAGGCCGAGCAAGACTCCGAGCTGCCAGTTGTGGGCCTCGTCGTTTCGCTTTTCTTTCGAATGATTTCCAGGTGGGCGCGGGCGATGCCGTCAACTTGGGCGGCGCTGACATCGGCGTCTCCGACGCCGAGCGACATGGGTTCCAGACATCTTTCCAAGCGTTCGTCGACCGAGCGCGGAAACACGTGGCCTCCGCCTTCGGCAAATCCGATGCAGCTCGGGGGTCCATTAAAACCGATATCGACGCCGAGAGTGCAAGGCGCTCCTGGACCTGGGCGGGAAGCGACGAGTCGAATAACCAGCGCGAGAGGCAGGGGCAGCAGCAGCAGCAGCAGCAGCAGCAGCAGCAGCATCGGCCTCAGATGGCAACGGCAGCAGCTTCGCCACAGCGGCCGCCGCGTGCGTGCGTTCCAGAGCCAGGCTACCCTGTCGCGCCGCCTGCATCTCGGGCCGCTCGGCCATGTCAGCCCGGCGGCATGCGAGGGCCCGATGGCCCGGCCAAGTTGGGTGCCCTCAGGCAAGGGCCCCCCTCGTCGCCGAGCCAGTCGAAGGAGAGCGTGATCTCTAGCGGGATGGAGGCCACCGCTCAGGCCAAGTTGGCGCGCGGGGAGTGCCCGCGTGCCTCTCGCCTAAGATGGCGGGAGGTCGGCCGGCTCGCCGCGGGGGCCCGAGGCGCGGCGCGCAGCTGGATGATTGAATCGAGACGTAGACGGCGCAGCTTTGGCCTCCACAACTGGCGGAGTTTGTGCATCCTGACTGTTTTCACCTCTCAAAGCTCCGCGGAGCTCGGGGCTTGTTTGGGCGGCGGAGCGATCGAGCCGACGGCGGCAGGGTGCCCGGGAGGTTGCGGGCAGTTGCTGACATCTGCGGCGCCATGTGGAGGCACGGCGCGGTCGCGCGCACGGGCGGCCATCGCGCGCGACTGCGAGGTGGGGATTGCGAAGAGGGAGGGCGTTCAGGAGGCCCCCAGTCGATGGTGAGAGGCAGGCGCGTCCAGTCCCGCTGGGCAGAGTCGATTCAGGCATGCCCCCGACTACCTTTCAGCGGCTTTCTGTTGGCAGGATTTCGGCGCATCTCGTTCGGGGGCGGGGGCGGGGTCTCCCCCGCGACTCCGCGGGGGCCCGGGGCGCCGCCGGTCGATCAAGAATGCGTCTTTTGATGTTTCTTGGAGAGGAGACTCGAGCGGGGGCCGCCGTTGCGACTCCACGAGAACTCGGCGTGCCGCCCGTCGATCGTAGAGGTTTTTGCCGTCCCTGGGCAGCGAGGCGCGGGCGGGGGCTTGCCCCGCGTCTTTGCTGGTCAATGTGGCGCCGCCGGGGGCTCGAGGAGGTTTCAAAATGTTTCTTGGGTTTTGAGGTGGGGGCGGGGGGCTGCCCCCGCGACCCCGCGAGGGCCCGATGGGGCCACCGGTCGATCGTGGAGGTCTCTTCTGCGCGTCTCTTGGAAGTCAGGCGCGAGCGCGGGCCCCCCTCCCCCGCGATTCCGCGGGGGCGCGAAGAACTGCCCGACGATCGTGGAGGTCGCGGCATGTCTCTTGACGGGGGCGGGGGCTGTTTCCGCGACTTCGCGCGGGCCAGCCAGGTTGCGCCAGGGGGGCCCGAGGAGGACCGTTTTCGGTCACCACGACCGCCTCGACCCCCTCCCGGAGGCCTCAGATGAAACAACTTCGCTTGGGTTCCTCAAAGGAGCGGCGCAGGGGCCGCTCTAGATTGGGCGCGTGTCGGATCGCGGCCGTCAGGGAGCATGGCAAGATGCAGCTTCGGGCAGGTTGGGGCGCGAGGGCCTTGATCCTTCGAGGTTGGAAGCCCCCCCCCCCAGCCCTTCAACTGATGTTCCAGGCGGATGGGCGTTAGCGGTGCGCTCATCGCCATGCCGGCGGCGCTCGCGTCGGGTCACCGAGGCCCCGGTCCAGTCCGCGAGGGGCATCTCGGCGCCTGGGCGTCCGGGGCGGTTGGTCATGGCCGTCTTCGACGTGCAGCCCACTCTCAAGTTAGTAGTGTTCGCCGCGCGCAGCTCTGCAGGCCAACAGGTATCCGCAGTGGGAACGCGGCCATCCTCAATGCCACCTGGGTTGTCAAGTCGCGGCTGCCGTGGGCGGCTGCTGGGAACTGGGGGCACCTGCCCGCGGACTTCGGTTGCTGGCCGCAGAACGCGCCAGGCAATGACATAATCAAACCATTGCAAGGACATGGCGGCACATACAGGTCACCTCGCGAGGAAACCGCCATCGGTTATTTTTCCGAAGGCTGACCTGTCCGCTACGGCGATGCTGGTTCGCGTCGATGACGACGCGATGCACCGCGCCCGCAGGGCGTCGTGGTTTCAGGTCGCTTAGGTGTGGTCGGCCTACGCCTGCGCCGAGCTGGTCAGGCCAGCCGGAAGAGGAGGAGGAGGAGGACGAGGAGTAGGCATGAGTACGAGGAAAGAGTGAAGGGGGAATAAAGGATGATGGTAACGATGGATGAAGATGAGCAGGAAAGATATGTATTGAGGAGGGAACATGCAGATGTCGAGGGAGAGGAGGAGGAGGTGGAGGAGGAGGGGCTGGATGGAGGGTATGTGGATGGGAAGGGAGAAGGGCGGGGGAGGTGAACGAGCACGAGCAGGGCGAGGAGGGAGGCGAGGCGCATGCCCACGCCTTGCCTCTTCCCGAGCTGCGCCGGCCCGTCCTTCCCCGCCGGCTCCCGAGCCGCGAGCTGCGTGCCCGCCTAGGTGCAGAACTGCTACGCCGACCCAGGCTGGCTGACCCCGCGCACCATCTTCCCGCAGGACGCCTCCGACGCTGGAGTCAAGCAGTGGCGAAGCGTCTTGGCTCGCCCACAGGCCCAACAACGAATGTTCTGAGAGCCTTCTGTGGTCTGCACGACATGTTCTCAGAGCCTTTGTTTAGACACATCGGGTTGATGTTCTAAGAACGTTGCCAGGACTCTGTCTGCAGGCCTCCCCATCGGGACCTGCAGGCTCTTGGTGTATGCTTCCTGGTTGTTTTGCTCCTTGAAGCTGCACCACCTGGGCAGTCCACGGCAGCTCAGTGCTGCCCTTGGCACCGCGATCGATGCCCACGGTATAAAAGAATAGAACATTTTAGGGTTCTAAAAACATGACGTGCTAGGCCTATAGGAGTGCTGGGACGGTCGGTCCCTGCTCAACGGAAGGGGGGGAGATGGTCGCTGCTTCTTTTTGTTCGGGTCTGCGGCGAGTTTGGTCCGACGCGTGGTCGGACCGACGGCGGGACGCGTCCGTGGCTGACTTTTAATGCGGCGAGGGCGAAGGAGGGGCGGGGCCCGAGGAGGAGGCGCTCGCGGCTCGACCCGAGAGACTTCAGGCCAGGTTTAAGTCGGGCCTGTCCCCCTACAGGGGAATTTTCGACGAAAAATAGAATACACCCCCAAAATATTCCCAAATTGTCAAAAAATAGTCCACAGACAATTTTTGGATTTTTTTTTCACTACTCTTGGGGTATTCTTTATTTTTCGTCGAAAATTCCCCTGTAGGGGGACACGCCCGACTTTAAGGCCAGGTAGATCTTCGAGCTGCGCCGGAGGTCAGGCGCATGGATGCAACGACGGCGTAGCAGAAGAGAGAAAGAAGGAGCTGCCGCAAGGCAGAGGACCAAGGCAACGCCGCAAAGCCACGGAACTGGTGGCCCTTCCGGGGACAGGCAACAATCGACCCAGGATGCGATTGCGGTCCTTGGGAAAGCGCCAGGTTCCGGGATCCGTTTCCCTCAGGACGTTTCCTCAGGGTCCTTCATCCTTCCGTTCCCGCACGTTCGGGGAGAAAGACGAGGAGGAAGAGGAGGGTAGGGAGGAGAAGGAGAAAGGACTCTGGCATGTACATCCGCGTCTCGTCTTGCCCCATCCAGCTTCTTCACATCCAAAGCCTTCCGACCCCTGTCATGTTGTCATATCACACCGCGCCACCTTTCTGTCCAACCTAATTCCGAACCGTCCCGCCTCTGTCTCAATGTCGAGATGCAGTGCTGTACGGCCAGTTCGTGTCGTGCCGACGCGGCGGCAACACTGGCAAGGGCGTCCAAGGTTGGACGCCCCCCGTGGCCCATAATTCTTCACGCTTCGCGTATCCCCACCAGCCCATCTCAAAACAGCAACTCTTGCGAAGCATGCCGACAGTCGTGTTTTTCAGGCGTGTTTCCGCCTGCCCCCGCATATCTCCGGGCCTCTCGTCCTGGTGTGAGTCGTGCGGGCCCTTCTTCCTGGTGTGAGTCGTTCGGGCTCTTCGTCGTGGTTTGAGTCGTTCGGGCTCTTCGTCCTGGCGTGAGTCGTTCGGGCTTCTCGTGGTGTGAGTTGTTCGGGCCCTTCGTCCTGGTGTGAGTCGTTCGGGCTCCTCCTCCTGGTGTGAGTCGTTCGGGCTCCTCGTGGTGTGAGTCGTTCGGGGCCTCGTGCTGTGTGAGTCGTTCGGGCTCCTCTTGGTGTGAGTCGTTCGGGCGCCTCGTCCTGGTGTGAGTCGTTCGGGCGTGGAGTCGAAGTCGTAGTAGTAGTAGTCGTAGGAGTAGAAGTAGAAGTAGATGTCTTTTGGTCGGAGGCCTCTGAGGGCGTCTTCGGCGCCTCTTGGGGCCTCTTGGAGACATCTTGGGGGCATCTCCTCGTGGGGCCTCTTGGGGGCCTCTTGGAGCCTCTTGGGGCCTCTTGGGGGTCTCTTGGGGGCCTCTTGGGGGCCTCTTGGGGGCCTCGTGTGGCCTCTGGGGGCCTCTTGTGGGCCTCTTGGGGGCCTCTTGGGGGCCTCTTGGGGCCTCTTGGGGGCCTCTTGGGGGCCTCTTGGGGGCCTCTTGGGAGCCTCTTGGGGGCCTGGGGGCCTCTTGCGACCTCCTCAGAAGCGCAAAGGAGCGCTGCCCCCTGAGAAGGACAAAATGAGCCAAAAACCTTCGTACAATCAATGATTTTGCCATGAAGGAAGATGAGCGCGGCCCCCTCAGGACGCCAAAATGGGGCCCAAACCGTAGTAAAATCAACGATTTTGGCTTCAAAGAAGAGCAGAGGGGCCAAACTGTATCCCCCCGACGGGGCCAGAATCCTCGTGAGGGTCGTCGTTTTTTGGCCCTCCCATGAGACAAAAAAGATCCCCCTGACTACGCCCCGGACTCCCTGTCCAGGTCCAGGGGGAGGGGGTAGGGGGAGGGGTAAACCCCTCCCCGAAGGGGAAGATGGGGGGTTGAGAACAGAGAGAGCTCGCTAAACCACTCACGCCCAAAGGGCTGGTGGGATTTGTCGTCATCGAACGATCTGCGTTATCGGAAGACCCCGATCGCCGAGGATCCGCTTGGAGTCAGAAACCAACGCCGAAATCCGTAGGTGACTACCTGTAAGGCTGTGTCAGCACGGCAGGTGGACGCCAAGGGGCTTGCGTCTTGGCTGTGCAACTGGTTTTTTGTTATGTTTCCTGTCGCTGGTCCGCGCGTGTTTCTTCGGTCGGCGCCGGGTCCCCCCTGTCGGTTCCGTCCACTCGCATTCGCCCCCATTCCCCCCGCTTTTCGGAGAAGTTCTCTAGTGGCCTTCGGCCCATCGCGCCACCGTTCCTGGGTTTTGGGTTAGGGGCCTTTTTGATGTTCGTTTGGATATCGTGGGAGGCCTCTCGGGGGCCCCTTGGAGGCAGTTTTGAGGCGTCTTGGGAGCCGTTTGGGGGCCTCTTCGGGTTTCCCTTTGGACCTCTTGGGAGCCTCGTGGGGCCTCCAGGAAGCCTCTTGGGCTCTCTCTCTCTGTGTGGGCCTCCTGTGGGCCTCATGGGGCGGAAGGCTCGAATTGTCTGTTCGCGTTCCCCCTTCTTGGGCCCCTCTTGGGCCCGTCATGGGGCCGTCTTGGGGCCCGCTTGGGCGATTTTGGGGGTCCCTTGGGCCGTTTTGGGGCCTTCTTGGCCGTCTTGGGGCCCTCTTGGGCTGTCTGGGGGCGGTCTTAGGGGCCTCTGGGGCCATCGTGGAGCGTTAAAGGCCCGAAAACGCGAGATCACGGAACAAAACAATGCGTTTTGCCTTTTTGTGCCCTCTTGGGGGTACTCTTCGAGCGCTCTTAGGGCTTCTTAGGGGCCTCGTGGGCCGTCTTGGGGCCATCTCGGGCGTATTGGAGCGCTCTTGGGCTGTCTTGGAGGCCTCTTGGACCCTCTTGGGCGCTTTCTGGGGCCCTCTTGGCCCGTCTTGGGGCCTGCTGGCTTCTGGAACAGTCACGCGAGGCAGCCCAGGAACGCGCAGAAGCGCCCAGGAAGTTTGAGGGCCCCCCCGGCCTTTAGAATACTGAAGGCCCAGAGTCCTGAGCACTGGGGAGAGAGGACACACGAGAGCCTGGGGGTAACTTCACTGCGTGCCTCGAGGCATGGTGGCGGATATCATTGTCCGCCCGCGGAGGCGTGACACTCCGTCCCAGAATCCTCATCGCGGGATCCCACCAAAATCATGGTAGGATCCCACCGAGGCCCCGATTGGATTCCAACTGGATTCTTCCAGGACTTCCGAGGCAGTCATGAGGATTCGGGAAGACTCTTGCATTTTCCAGGAAGAGTCCTGAAGGACTCTTGCAGGAATCTGGAACACTTCTTGATGATTCCAGGGTATGCTTGAAGATCCCCGAGGATTCGCGAAGGCTTCCTCGAAGATCTGGAAGAATATTGAAGAATCCGGATGGATTCCGAGAGATTCGTCGGTGTCTTGAGGATTCTGGACACTAGTTGAGTTTAGTGTCTAGGTGGATATCACGAGGGACCTTCAGGAATTCGAAGGATCTTGTCTAGGACTCCCCAGGAATCCTGACACCTCTCCCCCCGCCAAGTTTCTGAGACTACTTCCCTCGGCTAGAAGGGTAAGTTTCAGGCGTCTGGGGAAGTCCCTTACGAGTTTTCGCGAATTCCGTCTCCACATAGGAACCTTGGGAACCTTCGGAACCTCGAGGAAGCTTTGTAAGAATCCGATAGGATCAGCGGGAACCCGCTTGAGGAATCCCGATGGAATTGCAAGGATTCTGAAACAAGTGTTGGGATGTGAAGGCATATTGTAGTGGCCTCCGGCCAGTGCCGCCGACCCGGGGCGTTCCGGATGATGATGATGATGATGATGATGATGATGATGATGATGATGATGATGATGATGATGATGATGCTGATGCTGATGATGATGATGATGATGATGATGATGGTGATGGTGATGGTGATGATGATGATGATGATGATGA